ATTTCCTTCATTTTAGGAAGAAGTTGGTTATGTGGCTTTATTTTAAAACAAAAGAATTTGATTAAACAGGAGCAAACTGATAGTCACAGTTGATACATAACTTTTACCAAACAGTTTAACTTTTTAAAAGAGAATATCAAGCTTCTTTATTTTAATTTTCAGAGGAGGCATGTTACTCTGTTACTTGGAGTATAAGAAATAGCAGAAGAGTAACATAATCATGATGTTTTAGGAAACATGACCATCCTAATCATGATATCTGAAAGATTACCAGAAAATATATTATTGTGTCATTTTTTGGTTAGTCTTCTAGTGTCAAAAACTGTAACAAGACAGGAAGACCTAGGATAAAATCATACTAAGAAATCTTACACATACAAAAATAGCCATTTAAAAATATTATCAGCAAAAGTACATATACTCTTATCACAAAAAGGATCTCTCCTACCTATACCCTACTTCTCTTTGCATTTTGTGTCTTCCAAGAGGTTTTCTAAGCAAACACAAATGTGTGTGTGTGTGTGTGTGTGTGTGTGTGTGTGTGTTAGTCGCTCAATTGTGTCCAACTCTTTGAGACTCCATGGACTGTAGCCTACCAGGCTCCTCTGTTCATGGAATTCTTCAGGCAAGAATGGAGTAGGTTGCCATTCTCTTGTCAAGGGGATCTTCCTGACCCAGGGATTGAAACTGAGTCTCCTGGCAGATTTTCTACCATCTGATACCTTCTAATACAAATGGTAGTGTCCTATATACTGGTTTTTATTTTGCTTTTTCATTTATTAAAATATCTTGATGTTGATTATACTTCAGTTCATATAACCTTATTTTTTTAATGACTACACCACAGTTCAACAGGCTATTTGATGAAAATTTAAACTGTTCCCAATTGTATGCCATTACAAACAATGCTGAAATAAATTTATATATACTTCTCTGTGTATTTATGTATTAAATCCTTGGAAGCACAATTGCCTGTATAAAGTTTTGAGCATTTTTATTTTAATATTACTATAAAACGCTTCTCCATGAATCTGAATCAGCTCACAAACCAGACCCAGACAAAACTGTGTTACATTCCTAATACTATGTTTTATCAAAAGTTTTGTCACTGCAAACTGAAAGGTGAAATATTTCAGGTTTATTTTCCATATCTTGAGCAGTTTTTATTATATGCTTAAAAGTCACTTTCAGTTACATTTCTGTGAACTGCCTGTTTATCATGTGCCCATTGTACTGTTTGCTAGTTTTTATAAATTATTTTCATGTTATTTATCTGAATAATATTAAAACTTTAAGAACATTTTCTTGAATTTGTTATTAATTTTTACTACATTTTTGCCATACATTCTTTTGACTAAAAAGTCAAAAAGAATTAGACTACTACAAAAATGTAGTCTAATTTTAAATACTTTCCTTTTTAAAGGACAGTGTCTCTCTCTTCCTGAAGAATGAGTACTATAAAAGTGATTTTAGGACAATGCTACTTTAATATAAAAGGCATGAAAATTACAATGTTTTCTGTTTACAAAAATGTTAACAGGCTGTGAAATCTCTCAGGCAAAACCTTTCAACTTTTTAATTGTGTGCGCCTATGAGAGGGTAACAGGCAGGAAGGCCAGGGGTCTCCAAATGGAGGAAAGAGGCTGTAGGTGCCAGACATTTTTATCTCTCTTAAGCGGCAGGAAGAAACAAACCATCCATACGTGTTTCCTTCTCTATATAAATTTAAAAGGAGGTTTCTCTTAAAGTGCTGTGTTGCCATGACACCTGGTCTCACCTGAAGCTAACTACTCTCCAACCTTGAGTTAACCAATACATTTCTTTTTCGTATGGAAATGTTGTCTTAAGCTATGTTAATGAACCCCAGACTCTATCTTCAAGTTGGTTCCGCCAAATGGCCTAATTTACTTACTCAGGTATTGTTCCCCTAATCTACGTAAACTAAACTATGTTGGTATTCTGCCCTTCTACAAGATTCCAGTCAATCGTTTTATGGCCAGGGATGAATTATCTGGTGCCATTCTAAATTTTATGACATTCTTTTCATTAACAGATTGTGAGTAACTATATAACATTCAGCTAAAGACTAGGAGGGGGGTACTCTTTTGCCCCCTTCTGATGCCTGTGTCAGAAGCTTTCTCTATCTCCTTTGTACTTTAATAAAACTTTATTACACAAAAGCTCTGAGTGATCCAGCCTCGTCTCTGGCCCCGATTAAATTCGTCTCCTCCGGAGGCCAAGAATCCCGTGTCTCATAGTTCAGCAACAACCTTTCACCTATAGGAAATCATAGCAATCAATACTAAGGAACCAAATAAAGGAAGGGATTTTCAAAGAAAGAACCTGAAAGAGAACATTCAAAGAGAAAGCAAACAGAGCAAGCAAAATGAAAAGCTTTGTGATAGAAAATATATTTTTTCTACACTGAATGACAACTAACATATCCATCAAGATCCTTACTATTATTTTATTTTTCCTATTATAATAACATTACTTTTCATTTATAAACATGCATATATTATAGAACTATGTAACAGAACATGAATATACATAATAATATACTCATCCTCAGAGCTATCGCAGGTTCAATTTCAGACCATGATAAAGCACACATATATATAATAAACACACAGATGTACACAAACATTTACACATACTGTGTTTCAACTTGTTTCTTTGTTTCTGTCTGTTTGCGTTACAATTTATAATATACTTTGGACATATTTTCACTTTAGAACACTTAGAACTAACAAATATTTTAAACTATTATTATCCACTGTAGATGTACAATACATTATATAACCAAATTCCAATCAATGGTTACAAAACTATGCACAAATTTTCTATTAAAAACAATCCTACTGTGACCACCTTTGACACACATATTTATTTATTTATTTGCACAATTAGGAGCATGAATTTCAGTAAGTGAATGAGTATTTGAAAATTTTGTTATCACCATAAAAAAGTTTTATCAATACATTTCCACTAAGAGTACATTTCTCTCATCACATTATTAGAGAATTATCACACTTTCAAAATCTGCGAAACAGGCAAAGTCTATTTTACTTTGCATTTTCCTGATAGTTAACATGGCTGAGGGTCTTTCTACCACTTGTCATTTGTGTTTCTCTTACTTTGAATTGACACTCTTTATTCTCAGATGGTAAAGAATCTGCCTGCAATGTGGGAAACCTGTGTTCCATCCCTGGATCCAGAAGATCCTCTGGAGAAAGGCATGGCAACCCAATCCAGTATTCTTGCCTGGAGAATTCCATGGACAGAGGAGCCTGGTAGGCTACAGTCAGTGGGGTTGCAAAGAGTCGGACACCACTGAGCAAGTAACACTTGCCATTCTCAAATTGGATTGTTTAATCCTCAGTCCTTAAAGAGAGTTCTAGGCACATTAGAAAATTAGCTCTTCTTCTATTAACAATTGCCATTTGTATGTTTTTTTCTTTTTCTTGCAAATGCTAAGAATCGTGTCCCTACATGGGCTTTAGGTTTTTCTATCAGTCTCAAAAATGCTTTTCCACATGCCACACTCACAAATACTCATTCAGTTTTTCTGTTTCGTATATTTGTCTTAAATTGTTTAAATCATCTACATTTCATTGGTATGTTAAAAGCGAGGCAAAGTTCAAGCTTTATTATTAGGTTACTCAAATAAATACCTAATTGTCCTATATGATCAATTAAATGTTATTTCTTCTCCATTCCCTGACTTTGAAAGTATTCTTATCAAATGTAAGCTTTCCTTTTACTCTTATGTGTCTCTTCAGTTTCCTTGTTTGGTAGATCTATTCCCTATTCTACAGCCTTTAAATCATTATGGCTTTATAATACCTTTTATTTTATAGTAAAAATCCCCATATTTTGGTTATGATGTTGTTTAATTTATATGTTCTTTCAGAGAAATTATATCTTTGGAACAATGTATTTTACTGTATTTTCAACCTATACATTCTCACATATAGCATATTTTCATCTATGTCTCTAGAGCTTTATGTCTCTTTATAAATACATTTTCCAAGTTATTTCATGCCAATTAAATGGCTTACTTTGTCTTAATCTATATTCTATTTTAGATATATAATATCCATTGAAAATTTAAAATTGTGGTTAGATGCAATTAGACACTTCATTAAATTCTCTCTTTATGAGATTTTAGGTTGTTTTCAAGGTACACAAATGCATTATGGTAAAAAGGGCTAATTTTGTGTCTTCTTTTCTAATCAGAATATTAATGTGTCCTCCTGCCTACCTCACTGGCCTATACAACAACGTTACAGGATATGATGATGACTATTCTTTGCTTTTCCGGGTTTCCTGGAAATGATGCTAGTGTTCCAAGTTTTCCCGTGACAGGCTTATTGAGATAGATAGATGGAGGTTATCCTTCTGCTAATGTAGTCATACCCAATAAAAAAATACTAAAGCTTTACCCTTTTAAGAAGGTGGGAAAACCTTACTGCATATTATCTTCATCTTTGTACTAGTATGAATGGACACCTACTAAACAAAAAAGTAAAAACTAAATTGTAGATCCTAAGAGAAGATAAGACCAGAAAAACAAATGAAACTCTAAGTCTTGAAATATAAACGTTTTATTCTATAGAAACAAAGCAACTGCTCCCAGAAACTCTGCAAGCCCCCTCCCCCAGGTTTGAAGTGAAGTTGCTCAGTTGTCTGACGCTCTGAGACCCCATAGACGGCAGCCCACCAAGCCCCTCTGTCCCTGGGATTCTCCAGGCAAGAATACTGGAATGGGTTGCCATTTCCTTTTCCAGTACATGCATGCATGCTAACTAAGTCTCTTCAGTCGTGTCCGACTCTGTGCGACCTTATGGACAGCAGCCCACCAGGCTCCTCCGTCCATAGGATTCTTTAGGCAAGAATATTGGAGTGGGTTGCCAATTTCCTTCTCCACCAGTTTACCTGAATGTAAAAGTGATGGGTTCTGCCAGAAAAGCACGTCCAGAAGTGACTGCAAAACCTACCTGCGAGTCGACCTGAGCCGGGTCCCAGCTCTGTGCCGAGGGAGGGCCAGCCCGAGACCCCAGTGGAGCCCAGTACCGCGCAGGATACGCGGGAAAGGGGCGCAGCGAGTTGGCGCAACACAGCCGGTCTCCGGGGGCCGCTTCTGCGCAGGAGGGACGGTCTCCCCAACAGAGCCTCTGTCCCAAGGCCACGGCCGCCGACTTCAGACCCGGGGGGAACACCGATCCCCCCACCCCCAGCGCCGGAGACGGCTCCCTCTGGACGCCCCAAAACTTCGGGAACCTCCTGAGGATGCGGCGCGGAGCGCATCGAGCACAGGACTGCGCGCACCCTCGAATCCGCCGGCCTCGAACCTCTGTTCTCGGCTCCCGCGACCCAGCTCTCCGCCCGCCAGGTCCCACTCACCGCCCCGCCAGCTGTCCGCTCGGCATCCGGGACGCCAGGCCCGGGGTCTGATTCTATCCGCGGAGGAAGACAAAGGGGCGGGGCGGCGAAAAACGAAGAAGGAAGAAAAGGATTTTGAAACCAAAGCCCGAAGAGTCCCGCGGGGGAGGGGCGCGGGCCAGGGGCGGGGTCCCGGGTAGGGACCCTCCCCGGGTGCCTTCCCCTCCCCGCCCCGCCCCTGAGCTGGGAGCTCCGCGGTCGGGGTCAGAGGTTCCTGGAGGCGCGGCCGCGGCTTGAAGCCTGCTAGCAAGTAAAAATACCAGGCGCAGGAAATAAGGATTAGTTGTCACAGCTCTCCTGTGAGGTTAGGAAAGGGATAAGAGCAAGTCGACGGCGGCCTGTAATCAGAGAGGCACTTTCTAGAACCTGTGAGGCAGGGCTTCCAGACAGAGATTTCAGAGTCCAGGACGGAAAAGAAAAAACCAGTCTTTCCTAAGAGCCCTGCTAATTTGCATCTCTCCCACCCCCCCAGCCCTTTGGCTTGGAGACTTGGCTTTGGCGATGCAGTGCTGACTGGAAACCCTGGGGCGTAGGGCCCAGGCATTTGTTTTCCTTTCCACAGGGTTGGAGTAGGCCAGTTTGATGTTGAAGGGAGCGAGCCAGGAGAGAGAGATGGAGGAGCTGAGTTGCCTATGTTTTCTGAGAGAAAAATGGCATTTGTTAATTACTGTTGTTAGGCACGAGTATTGTTTTCAAACTGCAGAGGTTCAGGTCTGTGGTCCACGGGGAAGAAAACAACCTACTGACAGAAACTGGGGGTCCCTGACACTATAAAGAAACAGAACTGGACAAGAGTAAGTTAGATTAAATTCTAAAGAGAGCTTGGCAGTGCCCCTACCATGGGAAAAGTTTAGTTAGGGGAAAGCATATGGGAGTGGAGTACTGGAATTTTCCACTTTTCTTTTATGTATGCTATCTGCAATCATGTGTGTGAAATAGATTTTTAAAATTCGTATTGTATCTCTCAGTAGTAATTACATGGGACATTAGCCACATACTGAAATAATGTTAGATTGAAAGCATAAAACGGAGTGGTGCCAAAAACTACAACTAAATATAATACTACTTGTTAGTTTTGTTTTGAATTCATGAGAGTGATTCAGAAACGGAGTTTATTAATGCAAACATCCATGATGGTCATATGAACGAGCCCCAGTAATTCAAGAGTGAAACGTGTCTCATGGAACATACTGCTTTGGGGAGGGATAAAGAAACAATTGAAAGTAAGTCATATGCCCCAAATCCCAAATTTTAAGAGGAAGAATAATGATGAAACCTATGTCTTTCTGAAATTGCTTATCTGGTGCTGATACAACTCAAATCCTTCGGGGGATGAAAAATTTTCAGTTCAGTCGCTCGGTTGCTTTCTACTCCTTGTAATCCCATGAACTGCAGCACCCCAGACTTTGCTGTCCATCAGTAACTCCCAGAGCTTGCTCAAATTCATGTCCATCAAGTCGGAATTGCCATCCAACCGTCTCATCCTCTGTTGTTCCCTTCTCCTCCTGCCATCAATCTTTCCCAGTATCAGGGTCTTTTCAAATGAGTCAGTTCTTCTCACCAGGTAGGGAAAGTATTGGAGCTTCAGCTTCAGCATCAGTCCTTCCAATGAATATTCAGGACTGATTTCCTTTAGGATTGACCAGTTTGATCTCCTTGCAGCCCAAGGGACTCTCAAGAGTCTTCTCCAACACTACATTTCAAAAGCATCAATTCTTTGGTGCTCAGCTTTCTTTATGGTCCAACTCTCATATCCACACATGACTACTGGAAAATCCATAGTTTTGACTAGATGCACCTTTGTCAGTAAAGTAATGTCTCTGCTTTTCAATATGCTGTCTAGGTTGGTCATAGCTTTTCTTCCAAAGAGCAAGCGTCTTTTAATTTCATGGCCGCAATCACCATCTGCAGTGATTTTGGAGCCCAAGAAAATAAAGTCTCTCACTGTTTCCATTGTTTCCCCATCTGTTTGCCATGAAGTGATGGGATGGGATGCCATGATCTTAGTTTTTTGAATGTTGAGTTTTAAGCCAGCTTTTTCATTCTCCTCTGTCACCCTCATCAAGAGGCTCTTTAGCTCCTCTTCACTTTCTACCATAAGGGTGGTGTTATCTGCATATCTGAGGTTATAGATATTTCACCTGGTAATCTTGATTCCAGCTTGTGTTTCATCCAGCCTGGCATTTCGCATGATGTTCACTGCATATGAATTAAATAAGCAAAGTGACAATATACAGCCTTGTCATACTCCTTTCCCATTTTGGAACCAGTCCGTTGTTCCATCTCTGGTTCTAACTGTTGCTTCTTGACCTGCATACAGATTTCTCAGGAGGCAGGTCTGGTGTTCCCATCTCTTTAAGAATTTTCCACAGTTTATTGTGATTCATACAGTCAAAAGCTTTAGTGTAGTCCTAAATCCTACTTTCAGTGCTCCTTAGCTACATCTCTTTGTATTATTTTTTTATTACATTACCACAGTCTGCTTAGACTTAAAATTTAACTAAAATTAAGAAGTTTGCAAAGCACTTTTCAGTGCCTCAATCCTGTGTCATTGCTATAGTGTTTTACATGCATACAAATTATAAACTATGGAATTTAATGTTATGTTTTTCTAAGGCAACCAGTTGTCATTTATAATTATTAACAGGTGAAAATAGTTTTCACATTTATTCACAAATATGTAATAATGTGCTCTTCATTTTTTTTCTTATAGGTAAGGAGTTTTGTCTGTTTTTACTTTCCTTCAAGTTGGGGAATTTCCTTTAGTGTTCCTTGCATTCTTGTATTCAATATATCTTTCCCTTTTCCCCTTGACTTTTGCTTCTGTTCTTTCCTCAGCTATTTGTAAAACCTCCTCAGACAACCACTGAGGTTGCTTTCTTGCAGTTCTTTTTCTTTCAAATGATTTTGGTCACTATCTCTGTATAATGTTACAAACCTCCCTCCATAGTTGTTTAGGCACTCTGTCTGCCAGATCCAATCCCTTGAATCTACTCATCACTTTCCCTGTATTTCTAAATAAGGGATTTGATTTATGTCATAGCTGAATGGCCTACTGGTTTTCCCTGCTTTCTTCAATTTAGGCTTGAGTTTTGCAAGAAGGAGCTCATGATCTGAGCCGCAGTCTGCTTCTGGTCTTGTTTTTGCTGACTGTATAGAGCTTCTCCATCTTTGGTTGCAAAGAATATAATCAATTTGATTTTGTTATCGACCATCTGGTGATATCTGTGAAGAATTGTCTCTTGTGTTGTTAGAAAAGGGTGTTTGTTGTGACTTGTGTGTTCTTTTGACAAAATTCTGTTAGGTTTTGCACTGCTTCACTTTGTACTCCATGGCCAAACTTGCCTGTTACTCCAGTTATCTCTTGACTTCCTACTTCTTCATTCCAATCCCTTATGATGAAAAGGACATCTTCTTTTAGTATTAGTTCTAGAAGGTCTTGTAGGTCTTCACAGAACCATTTGACTTCAGCTTCTTTGTCATTTGTGGTTGGCACATACACTTGGATTACTGTGATGTTGAATGGCTTGCCTTGGAAACGAACCAAGATCATTCTGTCATTTTTGAGATTATACCCAAGTACTGCATTTTGGACTCTTGTTGACTATGGGGGATACTCCATTTCTTCTAAGGGATTCCTGCCCATGATAGTAGATATAATGGTCATCTGACTTAAATTTGCCCCTTCCTGTCCATTCACTAATCCCTAAGATGTTGATGTTCACTCTTGCCATCTCCTGCTTGACCACTTTCAATTTATCTTAATTCATGAACCTAACATTTCAGGTTCCTATGCAATATTGTTCTTTACAGCATCAGACTTTACTGTCACCACCAGACACATCCACAACTGAGCATTTCCACTTTGGCCCAGCCGCTTCATTCTGGAGCTATTAGTAATTGTACTCTGCTCTTTCCTAGTAACATATTGAACACCTTCCGACCTGGAGGGCTCATATTCTGGTGACATATGTTTTTGACTGTTCATGGGGTTTTCATGGCAAGAATGCTGGAGTGGTTTGCCATTCCTTCCTCCAGTGGACTATATTTTGTAAGAACTCTTCACTATGACCTGTACATCTTGGATGACTCTGCATGTCATGGCTCATATCTTCATTGAGTTATGCAAGCCCCTTCGCCACAAGGCTGTGATCCATGAAGGGGAATTTTGGTTTACATATATTTAAAAGGCTTCCCAGGTTGTTGCTAGTGGTAAAGAACCTGCCTGCCAATACAGGAGATGTAAGAGATGCAGATTCTATCCCTAGGTTGGGAAGATCCCCTGGAGGAGGGCATGGCAACTGACTCCAGTATTCATGGCTGGAAAATGCAATGGACAGAAGAGCCTGTCAGGCTACAGTCCATTGGGTCGTAAAGAGTTGGACACAGCAGAAGCAACTTAGCATGCACACAGGTATATTTAATATAATTGCTAACTCTTATATCTTATATCTTATCAAATGTTTCTTAGTAAAGAAATAGCTGGGGACAGCTCACATGGTAGAATTAAAAAGAATTAATGAATGTTTTCATTTAAGCTTTTTTTAAAAACAGTACTTAATGATCACACAGTTCTTTATAAATTACTTTTGAAACACTTCTTCTTTAACCTTTATCAAGCCCAAATTAAACATGAGAAAACTTAAACTGAGAGACTTAAATAATACATTTATAAGTTTGCTCTATGTTGTTGAATGACTTTATGAATATTTTTGCAGGGATTTAATCCATATATTTTGATTTTAAGTCCACTGCCCTTTTTAT